CGCTAAGGGACATACCATCCCTGCAGCGGAGGAGGAGACAGGCTGGAGGGAGCACTGCCACAGCTGGCCAGTGTATATGGCTCCTACTGTTTTCAAAGCCAAACCCAAAAGAATAAGCTTAACAAAGACAGTAAATTAAATTAATTAGGCTGACTATAGATAGGCAGGTCTTTCCTGACTGAACAAAACATGTTTAAAGTGACCTAAAAAAGAAGAGTTAAGGAACCCAAGAAGTACGGTAGCCCTCGTTCACTTCCGCAATGGCCGAATGCCCAGCATACTGAATACGTAAAGCTCCAGCACTTCCTTGTATTGATGGAGCTTGCCATTCCTCCCAACTCAGGCTGGGCACACACCTTACAACCATCGCAAGACTTTTGTCTTGCGATGGTTGTAAGGTAATTAAAAAAACGTACGATCTGCCTACCTTGGACAGGCAGATCGTACTTGCGATTATCGCAAGCCACGCCCCCCTGAGGGGCGGTCTTCCGATGACCGCAATGCCGAACGGGCAGTGTGCGCTTGCGCACACCGGCCCGTCCGGCTTTTATCTTACGAACATGCTACACACCCGCCGAAAATCGTACGGTTCTCGGTGGGTTTTCGAACATGTTCGTAAGATAAAAGTCGTGCGACCGCACAGTAGTAGAGGTCGCACGGCTTCCACACACCTTACAATAATCGTACGATCGAGGGATTTCCAGCGATTATCGTACGATTATCGCAAGGTGTGTGGGCACCTTTACACACATTCCTATTGGCCAAAGAGCACCCATTATAGTGATGCGCCAATAGGAATTTTTTCAAAGGACTAAGTCACTTTGGGATTGTTCTTTTTCACTTTAACACTGCTTGATTACTCTCTGACGGCTACGCGCAAAACTATGGCAGTGAAAATCCACTAATGTCTGGCCTGCTATTCGTTATATGACTGGACTGCAAATTTCACAGCATAAACACTAATGGGGCAGCCCCTGATTTATGAAGCACTGCTCTGTAACTGTTTACAATGGGCTGAAAAAAATGCAAATGAAAAATAAAGACACATTACACTTTCCTGCGTAACATTAAACAGGAACAGAACTTTGAAAGCTGTGCTCATAATAGGCATCAAAGTGGCAAAGGACTAGTCACCAGTAATGCCTGTGGTATTCCGGCAGCTGATCTTTTCCCCATTACTGCCTTACCATGCTTGTTCTGCATTGTGTCTGTATGGAGACGACCACCTTGGTAGGGCCAGGGCTCCTTATGTTAGAGCCTTAAGCAAGGAGAACAGTCTTAAAATCTTACTCCAAATATCCTGAGTCTAGAAAGCAGGGAGGCAGAGCCTTAGATCTCACACTGAAGATGTACAGCTATAAAACAAAAAAGTAGTAAGCGCTCTACTCTGGTGAAAATTGGGAATATATAAAAGATTATTTACAGCATGTTAAACCCATCTTAATAAAAAAAAAAAAAAAAAAGTGGAAGGGCGGGGGGGGGGGGGGGGGGGGCGGTTGTGCAGCCTCCATAAACGGGGAGAGGAACCCCGTGTGCAAGAAAAAGAAAACTGGAAAAGGAAGCGCTACTACCCTGTTAAATGAGTATGGTGAAATGACTCACTGTTGGAAGTTCTGTATGCGACCAGAGGGTGGTGTTGCCCTCCCGGGGGGGAGGGGAGGGATGGGGGGGTTCTGGGTCAGAATACCCTGTTGTTCAATAGAACCAGTCTGGGGTGAGTGGTAGCTTGGGGATGATGATCGGGAAGTGAATGAGCGACGGTATGTGTTCACTCACTTCCTGATCAATAGAGCCGACCTGTGACAGTTTCAATGTCACACGTCGGCTCTAATTATGAGGATGAGTGGAAATCACTCACCTCATAATTCTCCTTTAAACACTGATAATGTGATTTTTTCCCCTTACTTAATTTTAGGTGCAAACGTTTCAATGAGTTACATCAATCAATGAGACATTTCCTTTCATTATCTACATTTACATGTGTTTAATGGGCTAAAAGGTTACTACAAGAACTATTGTAATGCATACAAAGCTCATATACAGTCAGTGACCACTGCAAACCAGTGAGATATGTGGCTCTAAGTCTAAACCAAAAAACATGCAGATATGGTTAAAAACTTTTCTGTGTGAACAAACATTCAAGTGGAGAAAACGAATGATATAAAATGTGCCCATGGACATTAGTAAACAGTAGGACTTGCATCTGGTCATTTAATAATGTCTTTAGATTTGGTATCTGTCGTCTCACAAGTGTACTTGCTTATCACAATGGAACAGACTTTTGACCTGCTTAATTGCATGATCTATCACCCAAGGGTGGTTGGTTGGGACTGTGTGGCCCTGCCCCACAGACATTAGTTTGTCTCCCAACTGTCATCTTACACCGTTGGCAATTGAAGTGACTTGGACTGTAAAATGATTGCTGATGTCAGATGTGTCAATATGTTCACACATTATAGGCTCTGACTTTAACCGAGAAAAGCAAAAGTACATCTAGATCAGGGGTGTCAAACTCAATTTAATCGAGGGCCGCATCAACATTATGGTTGCACTCAAAGGTATCTGTAAGACTATATAAATGTATGTAATCTTTATCATAATTGCCTCTGCATTGGATTATCACTGGTTTTAGTAATAACGTAATACCTAGATCTGAAAGTAGAAGTCTAGGAAATGGCCTGGTGGGCCGGATTCGGCCCCCGTGTCTTGAGTTTGACACATGCGATATAGATGATCAACCCCTTGTAAACGTGAGAGGTCAAAGAGAATGGCCAAATTTGTTCAAGCTGGTAGGAAATCCACAACTGCTCAAGTAACTGTTCTATACAGTGCTGTGGAAAGGAATATGTGTCCGTACAAAACGTCAAACCACAGAGGGTAGGCTAAAGCAGCAGAAAACCATGACTAGTGTTATATGTAATAAAGAAGGTAAATGAGTGAAGAAAGCTTTACTATAGTCTAATGAATCATATTAGGAAGGACAAAGAACCTGCTTCATTTGCCATGCCAGATGTAAAATACTAGACACACCTTAGAATTTTGCTATTAAGACTTTTATACCAGTACAAAGCTTCTGTTTATTTAAGTCTTCAGTATAATTAGTTGTGCCATGCTATTAACAGAGAGCTACTGTGTCCTGATCGATAATCCAACAGCATTTATAACCTTTACATCCTGCAGCAGCCACATCAATGAAATGATCCCTGTCAGGCGTCCATTCTTATGTTCTCGTGCCTGTCGCTATCATGAGATGAACTGAAGCCATCTATTTACATGTTCAGTTTAAATGACCTACATGTACCTAAATGTGTACATAGGCTGTGTGTAAAGTTCAAGATAAAACAGAGAAGCACTAGAATTTATAGGCAGCCTTGTGAAAAACGGAAATAATAACCAAGCTGCCCTTTTTACAATCATCTTATTTTCATGTATGTCAATACTCTACGTGAATATATTTAGCTTTACAAATAAAGCGCAAGCACAGACATATTATATAGAGTATATAAAAAGGGACAGGTACTTACATATTGAGTTTAGATGTCACTGTAGATTTATTGCTGTCATTCACAGAAACATGTAGTTTTAGTGGATCTGAGTTATGGGACTTTTTAGGACTGTCTGCTTCAGACTTCCCTCCCTGGATGCTCTCTTGTTTTGTCTTCTTGTCCTGCGAGAGAACACCTGCTGCTGTTGGGCTTATGCCCCGTACAGGATCACTCAAATCCTCCCCTCCGCTTCCAGTTAAGGATCCAGGCACACATGCTTTTTCCACGTAGGCGTCTTTTGTTGTAGAAACAAGAGCAGGCTGCTTAAACTCAGAGACTTTGGCAGCAGCTGCTACAGTCTGATTTCTAAACACAGGATCCCTGCTCTGTGCTTTGCGGACTGTTGGGGAAGAGGGAGCCCAGGCAGTCACAGTTTTTTTCCTCAGAGGGCTGGAGGCTGGGTGTTGCTGTTTATCTTTGTCTGATTCACCCTTGGGCGAATGTTTTGGATTAGCTCCCGCCTTTAGTTCTTGGTTGGCTGATACAGTGCCGTTAGACTCAGGTGACGGAGGTGCAGGTTTTATATTACTATCAGATATGGCTGATTTTTCCTGAATACCTGTAAAGCTACCTTCCTCGAAAACATCATCATGGAATACACTGTTTTCGGTTTTCTTCTCCTCATTCTGACTGCTCTGGGATTTTAATGAGCGCCTCTTCCTGTTTGGTTTTCTCTCCATTGTCTCTCCGCTGCTAGAGTTTCGTGTGGTAGTTGGAGAGTTTGTCCCAGGTTTACTTAAGTAGATATCAAATGTTAACACTTTTCCATTATTTGATTGTCCATTAGCACTGGAATTCCTGGGCTTGTCTTGTGGAGAACCTGTAAATACGTCACCTTCTGTTGGGCTGACAGCTGATGAGAGGTCACCACCACTTGCGTGTCTCCTTAAAATACTACTGCCACCTGCACTGTCTGGGGACAGATTTTGCTCGGCTGGTGGTGACCCTTGGTCCTGTGAATCCCCTTGCAATGTAACCTGGAACGGTGGCCTCGTAGAGTTTAATTTGTCTGTGCTTCCTGATTTTGGAAGCGGTTTATCAGATATTTTATATTTGGAGTCTGTCACTTTACCGGAGAACCTTGAAGTCTTCTTGGTCACTATTTTGGGGGACTCCTCTTTAGTAGTATTTGTTTCTTGTGAAAATACCTGAATTCTCCTCACGCTGAACTTGGTAGTTTCTCCATCTGTAGAGCTTCTTCTTCCAGGAGATTGCGGTACATTCCGTACACTTTTCTCATTACTGTTCTGGCGGATGACTTTAGGCGTCGAGTTTTTCTGACTAGTATCTGAAAATGTAGTAGCACTCTCACGACTTGTTTGCTGAAGCTCTGTTACCAGAGGTACAGTACTGGTCTGGGCATCAATTTTAGATGGTGAGCACTGTTCTCTACGCTCATTGCTGCTCAAAAATGCATTGGCGTGAACAGCAGGTCTTTCAATACTAGTTTGCTCAAGTTCCTTCTGTGTGTTTTCTGTATTCTGATCTGTAAGTGCAATATTACCATTACCATTTGTAGTCTCAATTTCTCTTCTACCTACAGCCAGTGCAGAATTCTTTGAGATGTGTTCGGTGAACTGATCTGATGCAGGTTCTACTTGAGCAAAGTTGCGTGCATGTGTCTGTACTTTGGCAGTGGAAGACACCAAGATAACTTTCTTTCGCTCTCTTACAACCTCTTTTTCAGACCTAAACGTAGTAACTGTCTTCTCAGTAGGGCTGGTGGGAGATTCAGGGACACCTTTGCTTTGTTTCTTTTTATTGGTGGTAAAGAATTTTTCAAATTTTCCAGGCTTCTTTGTCACATCTTTTTTAGGCAACTCTGTAGGTGATGCTTTAGACTGAAAAAAAGAAAAATAAATAAAAGTAGGTTAAAACCTTGTCTAATACAGAGGGAAATGCAACTATATAGCTATGTATATAAACAAAAGATGAAGTTTCCATGTACAGAGAGGGTGTAGACCTCCTCCCAACATACCTATGATAATCATTATTTACTTTTTATTTCACTGGACAATTCTGTACAGATGGCTTAGCAGCCAAACACATAGTATAAAAACTATGAGTCTCCATGCAGTTAATTTTTATGGACATTACTACACCTCCCATAATAAATAAACAGCATAAACACAGACCAGATAATGTACAGTTGTGAACAGCAGTTAATTAAATAATCCTTTACTGGAATTTCCTAGAAATCATTGTAGATATATATGATATTCTACATACGTTGTCAAATTTCTACCTTCAGCTAGATTTCTTTGTATTTATGGAATCTGCATTGTATAATGTAAGGCCTTGGTTCTCAACTGGTGGGTCGTGACCCAAAGGTGGGTCACGACCCCATGTTCAGTGGGTAGCTGCATGTCTTCCACTTTACTAGGTGAGCGGCTCCTCAGCCTCCCCCTAGTGCAGCACTGTCCATTCTTACACAGAGCAGCCATTCAAAATAGGCTGCCCGGTGCCGACTTTAGATGGGGTGGGCTGGGGGTATGGCCGCGAGGGAGCTCCATCCATACATACATTGCTTATAGCTCCCCCACATGTCCTGTAGAGGTAGGTGCCTGGACTGGAGTGACATCACATTCCGGTTCCCGGCACCTCTACAGGCGCACATGGGAGCTGTATAAGCAATGCACATATGGATGGAGCTCCATCGCAGCCCACACTGCCGTGTGTTCCATTGCAGTGCGACTCAATTCAATGACCGAGGACAAATGTGGGTCATGAGGTTACAGTTTGAGAACCACTGATGTAAGGGAATGCATATTAAACAAAAACACCTGTTTCTCAGCATTGGGAGACCACAACAGGTAGTTTTCGGTACAGGGCTCCAAGGGCTGAGAACAATTAAAAAAAAGATCTTCAGCTAACCCAATTGTAAATTTTGAAAAAATTACCTCTCTTCTAACTTCGTACTGCACTGCGTGGATTGGAAAGAAATAGTACAGGTGTGGGGTTTTTTTTTGCATCAACGCTAGCTTTTGGCACCATAGACTTCAATGGCAGAACATGAAAACTGCATGCAACATACATGTTTGTGTGTTTTAGCACATGACAACAAGCGCCCAAAAAAACACATTGCACATGAAAATATTCTGTACCCTAAGGCCCCATTCACACTAAGCGATTTATCGTGCGATTTTTGCTGCACGATATCGCGAGAAGTCGCCGGCCAATGCTATTCAATGGAGCTGTCTTAGCTCCATGTCGCCCGTCGCTCCAGCAGGACCCTTTTTCGGCTGATTTTGTGCGATTTTTCAATGGAGCCCGACGGTGAAGGTCGCGCTACCGTTGCCCCGAAAGTCGTGCTATCCTGGCCACGCGGATCCGCTGCAAAAGGTATGTCGCTTAGTGAGAATGGGGCCTAAAGGTATCCACTATTTTAAAAAGGAAATGGTAGTGAGATGCACTATAGTGGTAGGTCAGAGTTGAGAGTAATGACTGGATTTATCAGAAAACAATACGGTTTTATGGTAAACATCTGCACAGTTAAGTACAGTTTTATTGCCTGTGAACTTGTTCCTCGGTTATATCTGTATTAGATAAAAAAACAACATACTAAATAGCATTGCTGACGCAAATTAGCTGCTAGTGTTGTTAAGATTTTAGTGGTGTAAGGTCTCGTTTACACAGTACTTTTATATGTGGCTGGGGAATCCTGCGGCAAGAACCTGCAGATTCTTGCTGCAGGAATCCCAGGTATGTCCGTACAGAGGAAACTACTGTGCCTGAGGTGATGACAGGCTGACTGTGGCCGCATCTCTCCGTGGCTGTTCACATGTAATCGCACATGAAACGATTACCTGTGGAGATACATGATTGTCCCTGGACACAGACAAATTGCATCTAGGGACAATCTATCCCAAACCGTACGGAATTGTTCAATTTATGATTGCATGCTGACAGCCACGGACAGATGTGGCTGTAGTCAGCCTGTCATCAGAGCTGACAATGTCTGCATCTGTATAGACACATCTGGAAATTCTGGGATCTCCACCCGCACACAACAGCCCTATGTGCATGTAGCCTTAGTCATTCATTGCCTTATTGCCATTGGGTAGCTAACACACACAAGCAGCACACCCGGTGCAGGCCATCCTTCTCCCACCAGAGCCCCTCTCCTGCAGCTACAAAATTTCTACTCAGGGATACTAAGATACTAACATGTATTGCTGGAGAATGTGGGCAAACCTGGAAACAAGCAAAGAGATTTAGCTACAGGAAATCCTGAAAGTCATAAAATCTTTCATCAGACATGATGAAAGATCCAGCATCTGTCTGTTCTTGCTGTTTGTCAGAAACACACAATCAAATTCCAAATGTTTTTTTTCAGTTATTTTGCTGCATGCATTAGAGCTTTCAAAAAATCTTCATTGTCCTTAATGGCACACGAGTGCTTGTTATTATTTACTTTATTAATGCACTTGTTTCCTAACTATCACTATTGCACGCTGGATCACCGAGATCTCGCAGATCGGAATTTATCAAAACTGGAGCAGTTGCCCATGGCAACCAATCAGCTTCTCACTTCATTTTCTTCAGTTAAGCTTTGAAAATAAAAGAGAGAGGCTGATTGGTTGTTGTGCAACTGCTCCAGTTTTGATCAATTCCACTCACAGTGTTCAGTCATGCTGAAGAATTATGCAGATAAGATGGTGTTTATACACTACAGAAAGATTGGTTTCAGATCCTCCTTTAAACACACACATCGATTCAAGGAATGGCTGCACAGTGAAGATCTTCACCACATGCTTCTTTTTTATTAAAATCCAACCAACAGTATATTTTGATCCCCACCTGATGATCACTCACCACTAACGCGCTTCACCCATCCAGGCTTAGTTTCTACAATTAAGCCCGGATATGTGAAACCACGTACACTGGCCCCGACAGTGCTCACTGTTCATTCATGAAAGATCACTCAGCACTGGAGGGGTATGTGGGACTGCTTGTAAATATACAGCCCCAACAGATAGATTATAGCCCACAGCGCTGAGTAATCTATTATGAATAGCAGAGCTGGTCTCCAGAGAGGCCCCTGCTGCCAGAAACCAGCTCTGTCACTCAAAACTTTGTCTCCTTGTTAGCGGCATGGTAGGACAGAGGTTCTTAAACTGTCCGACCACACTGCTTGGCAATGGCAGAGAAGTGTCATATGCACCCTCGTGGATGAAATAAAAATGTACATTTTTTAGGGCTGTTACTGATTAAACTTTTCGTGTTCCATTAATCGAAATTTTTTTAAATCGATTAATTTCGATTAATTATAACGCACATACAGATTCAACTACATTGGCCTGTACACATACAGCACAGCAATGAAGTAATACAATTAACTAGGATCACACTAATCCAGCACGTTATTAATCTCATGTGCCCCACTCAATATGGCCGCCGCTTGAGTGGGGCAACTCAGAATAATAACGTGCTGGATTAGTGTGATCCTAGTTCATTTTATTACTTCATTGCTGTGCTGTATGTGTATAGGCCGATGCCTTGGCTGGCGCTCGTACAGAACAAGTTTCTTTGGCAAACCTCTTAGTTGTAACAGAACCGGAAGTCAGGCAGTCGCAGAACTCTCAGTTCTGCGTGTCGACAGATCACCGGCCCAAGTGGCTCCGTCGGCTAACGAAGGGAAGGGGGGAGGAGTCCGGTGACGTCACGGACATCGACGTCACCGGACTCCTCCCCTTCCCTTTGTTAGCCGACGGAGCCACTTGGGGAAGGAGTCCGGTGACAGTATGTGACATGGGGAGCTTAGATTGTAGGCTTCTTGGACAGGCACTGATGTGAATGTGCAGTATGTAAAAGCACAGCATTGTCAGCACTATAGAAATGATTTATTTAAACAGCTCTGGAAAAGCTTACGCTTATTATACGTATGAGTACTAGTTAACCATAAGCATTTAGTCCACATTATTTAACAGGATAGTTTGGGTGTGAATTAAAGATCCTCCCTGTACCACAGCTGTGAACAAAAACTGTAATGCCTAAAGCAGTGGATGATTTCATTTATTTTAGCTCTGCATCTAAATTATCTAAAACATCTCACGGGGGGCTTGTGGCATCAAAATGTAGTGTCACTCACCTCTCCGCCGGCTTCCGGGAGTCCCGTCAGAGATCCTGTGACGTCACAGACATCAACATCACCGGACTCCTCCCCCCTTACCTTCGTTAGCCGACGGAGCCACATGGGGAAGGAAGAGGAGTCCGGTGACGTCGATGTCCGTGACGTCACCGGATCTGCAACGGGACTCCCGGAAGCCCGCGGAGAGGTGAGTATTTTCATTAGCGATCAAAACATTTTTAATCGATCAAAAAGATTAACGCTTAATTGAGAAATTAATCGTTAATTTGCGCATCCCTAAAAATTTTTTGTGAGACTTATTTGAGAAGATATTTGCAAATCTGTAAGTAAACACATCTAAATGCATGTTTACAGACCATGAGATGCATTTTTTTAATGTAGGACCTTGCCAGCAAAATCCAAATGATTACGTCCATATGCATGAGCCTAAACAGATATGGTCACCCAGAAACACTTTTCAGGTTCCTCACATACTGTAAATAAAATGTTTACAATTAGCGCTTATTGATGATGTCCTTGCATAGCAATTCATAATGCCTTTTTGTGTCAGTAATAGTGATGTCGTTTTCTTTGAACTCTGGCACTTCTGAACAACCGCACTGCTCCCTCCTTCCCCATTCTGGACTCGGCAGAGAGGGACAGATCATTTTGATTAAGTTAGGCAGCCTGAAAATGAAATATATGCCAACCAACCTCCTCTGCATTGAAATTTTTGCAAAGTGCCATGCACCATGGAAATGCTGCCACCAG